AAAGGTCAGAGTGAGGCGGGCAGCTTAAAATCCTCCAGAATCCAAGGGTGCAGAGCAATAAGAGAAAGAGGCCTTTGATCATTCGCTTTAAAATTGCAAAAAAACCCCAGTTTAAACCATCGTCATCATTAGCGTCGACCCTCAAAACCCAAAATCCACTTGGACCAAGCTCTCCATCTTATAAACCTAGCAAGAAGCCCAAATCCAGGCATTCCTTGTCCACTTCAAGCTCGGGTCCAGTTCAACATAACATCATCATCAACCGCATCAGTCTTTGTAGCTGCAGACTCTCTCAGTGTGGAAAACGATGGCGTTTAGGGTTCGAACTCGAGCTTGCTGTCCCTGGTTATTCTCTCTCTCATCGCCATCGCCTCCGCCAAGGTTTTCTTCGCAGAACGCTTCGAAGATGGATGGGATAAACGTTGTGAGTATCTCCATCAACCTGGAAAGAAGAGGCGGCTAACCGCTGATCAAGTCCAGTTTCTTGAAAAAAGCTTCGACGTGGAAAACAAGCTAGAACCAGAGAGGAAAGTCCTGCTGGCAAAGGACATTGGCTTGCATCTATGCATTCTCTGTGTTTAATTTCGCCGCTGCTCTCACTCTCTCCAAAAAAACTCGGGTCAGATCCATCGGCCACAGCGAGCCCGAATAATGGTACATCAAAAGATGTCGTGGGTTCCTCGACAAAACACTCCGCATGAACGTTCTCTCTTGAGTATTGTTTTTCCCTGGCTCAGGTCTTTACATTTTGTTTGTTTGTTTGTTTTTTTTTTTTCAGTAGTTTGTACCAGTCAAAATTGGCGAAAGCCATCATTTCGGCAACTGAGAAGCCATCATTTGTCAAATGAATCTCAGTTGCCGAAATGACGACGATGAGCACCGAAAAGCTGTAGCAGGGATGGTGAGTACAACAAGCAAGATGTTTTCCACTGTTACAGTTTTCATTCGACATGATTCGAAGACAACGTAACAGCCTCGTGTTACCATTTCTTCTGGTAAGTGCAATTTAGGCATGGGAGGAAATGGTGAGTTCACATAGGAATGTGCAACTAACAAATTGCATCCTTAATAACGCGTTCTAAGCTTTCCTTGATCTAAGATAAGTATCATAAGTTTATGATAGAGTCAGTAAAACATGAAATATGTTGAGAATAAAAAAATTCCGACAAAATCAAGATGTATCATGTTTTTCTTATAGTTGACTTCAAGTTGGTCTCAACTCTCACGGCTCTCACCTGATCCCCTGTGAGTTTTGGCCTTGTCGAAGCTTCTTGCCAGCAAGACATGTTGGCAAAACATTTCATAAAAACAAATCTAAATATAAACAAATGTATAAACCATTTCAAATGCTAAAAACTAATATTGTAACATGCAGAAGTGAGAGGGGAAAGGTCTGGTGATATTTTTCTTCGCTTAGAAGTGAGAGGTCTTAGATTCGAATTTCGTGGATGGTGAATTCGATACCAAATTCGGCTGCTCATTGTGTGGCTTAGTCGAACTCCCTCTCCTCCTAGTGTAAAAATATCGATTTATTAAAAAAAACATGCAAAACAATTAAGGAAAATAATGCAAATGGCTCGAAAACTTTGAGTTTTAACGATAAAGACAAAATACTTAGTTTGATAAACAAAATTTTGAATCCCAAAAGGATTTCAAACAACTTCTAATTTTCTCTTTTATCGTAGAGATCAATTAAATGCTTGTATATTTTTGTATTAAATTTCTTCATTTTATTTCAATTTCCATAACCAACATTTGAAGTTTAGTCAATTCATAAAAAGCAAAAGAAGAGTATTCTTGGAAGTTAATGAATTATTTTGAGCGTCCAAAATAATGTCTGAGAATAAATTGATTGTTCAGATAAAAAAATGTCACAGACAAAAGGTAGGCTATCTTTTACAAAAGCCCGGCCCAGCTCGAAGTTGTTTTCATTTTGATTGAAACCCAGCTCGGCCCATTGATGACTATGCAGTTTTTCCGAAAGCTCTGATTTCAAATTGGATTTCTGTCTATTTGTACATTTTCCTTTTCGGAAAATCTGGTGGGCTTGTTAATTTCGCTTGGGGTTTTCTGAAATTTAGTTGATTGTGGTAGTGCCCGGCAAGTGTTTGATAGAATGCCTCTGTGAGAATTTAATTAGGTATTCGCCAACGGCATCCTGTTTAGCTGCAAAAGTTTCTTGGGTGTGTAGTTTTGATATAATGTTGCAATTGTTGGTTGCGGGAAAGGATTCTCTCTTCTAGATCCGACCACCGCGTTGAGGAGTCACTGCGATGGGGTGCAAGCGTAAGCTCCGGGCATCTACAAGTTGTCAGGCTGAAGGAACTTCCTCAGAAAGTGGAATAGACAGATTTAGTGATCTTCCGGAGGAAGTTGTTCATCGTATTCTTTCCTTACTCAATTTCAGGGACCTCACTCGAGTGGGTGGTCTGTCCAAAAGATGCAGACAATTTCATCTATCAGTTCCAGTAGTCGATTTTAATTCAAATTGGGTGCCACTAACAAAAACTGTTAAGTGTTTTGCGAGGCTCATGAGTTCTTTTGATAGATACTTTCTTGATCGTGGTCATAACAGGTTGCAGCGACTTGACATTGACTGGAGTTTCTTACAAGTGAAACAGCGAAGAAAGTTTCTGATTCGTAGTGCATTAACGTGTAATGTTGAAGACTTGATCTTTATTTCTGAAATTGTGGGACCAATATGTTTTCGTTGCCATCTTTCATCTTCCATTCTCAATCTTTGCGCTCTCTATCAGTGCGCTTGCATATGTTCTGTACGGGGGTTGTTGAAGCGCCATCTCTATCCTTTTCTAGTAATCTCCATTGCTTATCATTGACTGATGTATAGCTCAAAGTATTGGAGGTTCTTTGCAGTATAGCTCGGTAAAAGTTCTAATTATAAACGAGTAGACTATTCAGGTAAAGTTGAGAATTTTCACTTTTCAATCATCGAGATTGCATTCTTATTGTGATGGCATACTTCTTGCGATATTGTTATTCTGATGGTATATTTGATGTGATTTTTGTGAGACTTGGGAGTTTTCACTTTTCAATCATGGAGATTGCATTCTTATTCTGATGGTATATTTGATGTGGTTTTTGTGAGACTTACTGCAGGAATGTAAGTTTTTATTTGTGCGCAAGTTCTGTCCGATGAAGTAACTTAAAAAGCATTAGACTTTATTTTTTGACAACTTAATGATTATATATATTAATCTAGATTGTGATAATTCTTGTGCTCTCTCTTACCAAGTAAGATTTCTTCGTGGAAAAACTTGCAGGCTCTGTACAAGGAAGGCTCCACGCCAACACTAATGTTGGATAGTATTCGTAACTTGCGTATACATTGTGAGAGCTTTAATTACAAGTTTGTTCCTGCAGTGGTCTCTCTTCTTAGGAGAATGCCTAATCTGAATATTTTTACATTCCTTTTTGGAGGGGGTTGGGTCAACATATTAAGTTTGGTGAGTTTATGGAATAGATGGGTTAAACAGAGGCACCCAAAAATTATCGTCAAAAGATGAATTTATAAAGTTATGTTTTTATTTGGTAAATTTGAAATATTTTTCTTTCTTTTGGCACAACAAATTCATTTGTTTTTATGTTTTCAGGCAAGTCGCTTTGGTAATGGATACTGGAAACTGCAAAACCTTGCATTCATTCATCAGCTTAAGGAGGTAAGCATAGAGAATTCCTACGGGTCTAATGGAATCGAGTTTGAAAGGTATATTCTCGAGCATGCTCAAAATTTGAAGAAAATATTGTTCATCGAAAGTTGCTCGGATGGTGAGTGGGAGCAGATGATTTCCACTGCCTCAGTTCTTATTCGGCAGGACCCACACAAGATTTACAAAATCCGTGGTCTGGGATCTTACATTTTGTATTGGGACCTGATATATCAAAATCTCGGATAGTCACTAAGAGATCTCGGATGTTACATGAAATTAATTGACAGGATATTTCTCTGGTAATATCTCCTTTATATTTCTCTCGTACAGCAGTTGAATCTGGTGATGTTCTTATATTTCTCTCAAAAGCTAAAAATTAATATTGTAAGGTTTGGAATAAGTAAGCGCATGTTTGGTATCCTATTTCGATCCAATGTCTAATTTTTAATAATCCAATTAAAAAGCTAAGGCTCTAGTTGGCTTTAAAAACTTCTTGGTGGAACTATTTTTAAAAACTGAATTCAAGACTAACTTAAGAAAATAGCCTATTATCTAAAAACATTAAAAGTGAGTTATTAGAAATTTTAAATTTAAACTCACTCATTTTTTTCTCCTCCCCTTCTCACTCACTCCCAATCTATCTCTCTCTCTCTCTCTTTTTTTTTGTCTTTTTTCTCCTTCTCTCTCCTATGGTTCGCTCTCTTCATTCTCTCTCACCCTTTCTCTTTATCTCCTCCCATCTCTTTCTCACCCTCCCTTTATTTGGATCTCTTTATTCAATTTAAGTTTTTTTTATTTTTTATTTTTTATGAAACAAACGATATTATTTACAGTTCTACATTAAGAGGGTATATTCACCCTCTCACTCCTGATCTATCTCTCTCTCTTTTGTAGAATCTTTTAGAGGGTATATTCAATTATGAGTTTAAAGGATTTTAAAAAAGTTTACAAATCAAGATATATTCAATCAAGATTTTATTTAAAAAAAAAGGTTTATAAAAATCCAAGTGTATTAATTCCTCAGTTTAAAGTAGTTCATAAAACTTTATGTGTAATTTATTTTTAAAAAAATGAAGGATTTTAATGGATTTGAAGGAATAATAAAGTGATTTTGAGAAATTAGACATCTTTTCTAAGATTTCAAATGAACTCAATTAAAATTCACAAGAAGTCTATGGAACTATATTAAGTTGAAAATTAGAGTACACATAACGAACGAACGGATAAACGACAAATAAAATTCACATAGAGTTTATGGAACTGCATTAAGTTGAAAATCAGAGTACGTATAACGACGAACAAGCAAATAAAATAAACAAATACAAAACTACAAATATTATTAAAAATGAAGAAACAATAGTACAAGATTCGCCAAAAGAGTTACATAACTCGTAAGGCTATGCGACCAACTAATTCTAAACTGACTTACAAAACATGCTATCTATAGAAATCTCTAATAAGCAAAAAATACGAAATCCTAATTTCAATGGGTTAGACCCAAATTCTAAACTAACTAGAAAATACAAACAATTAATTAAAAAAAAAAAGAAAAAGAAAAGTACAAACACACTAAACTTCTATTTTTGTTCAACTTCTTAAATGTAATCTATATCCAGGCGTAAGCGAAGAGAACCACGGCCCGGTGCCGAAGAAGAATTGATTCAGCCACTACCATACCACCTGTAAGTTATCTGTTTGCAGAACATCCGATTTTCTGAAAACTTGGATTTCAACTTGGAATTTCTGTCTAATTCTACACTTTCCGTTGCCACAAGCATGTTGATTTCGCTGGGGGTTTTCTGAAATTAGTTGATTGCCGTAGTGCCTGGAAATTGTTTGATCATATGCCTCTGTGAGAATTTGATTAGGTTTTTGGAAAGGGCATCATATTTTTCTCTATTGGATCCGACCACCGCCTTGAGGAGTCACTACGATGGCGCGCAAGCGTAAGCTCCAGGCACCTACAAGTTGTGAATCTGAAGGAACTTGTTCTGAAAGTGGAATGGACCGATTTAGTGATCTTCCGGAGGAAGTTGTTCATCGGATTCTTTCCTTCCTCAATTTCAAAGACCTCACTCGAGTGGGTGCTGTATCCAAAAGATGCAGACAAGTTCGTCTCTCAGTTCCGGTGGTGAATTTTGGTACAGATGAGCGGACAGGCATAAAAAAAATGGATTTAGGGAGGATGATGACTTCTTTTGATCGGTACTTGCTCGATCGTGGTCCTAACAGGTTGCAGCGAGTCTGCATCTGCTTGAGTGTCTGTAAAAGTGAAACAACGAAGAAAGTTTCTGATGACCATTCTCGAGTGCTCAAGTGGATTCGTAATGCAGTAAGGTGTAATGTTGAAGAGCTTGATCTCTATTTCTCACACCGTGTTACTAGTACGTTCTCGTTGCCATCTTTCATCTTCCATTCTCAATCTTTGCGCTCCTTATCGGTGTCCTCAGGTGTAAGCATTTTGGAGGTTGTTGAAGCGCCGTCTCTATCCTTTTCTAGTAATCTCCATTACTTATCATTGAGTTCTGTTAAAATAGTGGACGACATGGTTTTCAAATGGATCTCATGCTGCTGCAAGTGCCTTAAGGAATTACGTCTTGTTTCTATCAATGGTATACCAAATATCTCCATTGAAAGTTCGTCGTTGGTTAACTTTTATGTTTTCGATTGTGGTGACGTACATCTTATTATATCGGGTCAGAAACTTGAATATATAGATATGGAGTGGGGTGGTTACGATGCATTTACGAGCAGAAAAAGCACAATTAGCAACACATCATTGAAGATTTTTGCTCCAAATCTTAAAACTTTGAAATGGAAAGGCGAATTGAGGAATAGCCAAAGTCTGGGAAATTTAAAGAGTTTGGAAGAAGTTGAGATTTTCTTAGCGCCTCTGAAAAATGAGTTCGACAAAGTATTGGAGGTTCTTTGCAGTATATGTTCGGCAAAAGTTATTACCATAAACGAGGAGACCATTAAGGTAAAGTTCACTTATTCTCCGGACGTTTTTCGTAAAAACACTATAAATAATCTTGTGAATTGACTCTTGAGAGTGTTTTCACTTTTCAATCATGGAGATTGCATTCTTATTGTGATGTTATATTTGATGTGATATTTGTGAGATGAAGTAACTTAAACAGCATTAGACTTTAATTTTTTGACAAATTAATGATCATATTAATTAAGATTGTGATAATTCTTGTGTTCTTTCTATGTAATTAAGATTTTTTTCTTGAAAACTTGCAGGCTCTGTACAAGGAAGGTTCCACGACAACACTAATATTGGATAATATTTTAAACTTGAGCATACATTGTGAGAACTTGAATAACAGGCTTGTTCCTGCAATGGTCTCTCTTCTTAGGAGAATGCCTAATCTCAATATTTTGTGCATAAAGACTAGCTGTGAGAATTTGACTCCTGAAAAAGTAAGAAAGCCTATTTTGCCTATTGATCTCCCTCTCACGCATTTTTCTTTTTCTAATTTTTAGAATCATTTGCTAATAAATTAGGGTGACCTTATCGATTTCTTAAGAAAACCCTCCTATTAAACAATGAAAACTCAAAATTTAGCCTAGATTAAATGACAGCAAAAGGGTTAGCTAGTTTCTTTTAATTTTTTTAATTTTTTTTATGTAGCGATATATTTTCACTATGCATAATAGTTAGTTTTGTAATATATTGGTGTAACTTACATGTTTTTACATTTCCTTTTAGAATGGGTTGGGTCAATAACATGTAAATTTGGTGAATTTGTGGAATAGTTGGGTTAGTCAGAGTCACAGAAAAGTTAATTTGTTTTTGAATTACTTCGTGTTTATTTGGTGCTTTTGAATTAATTTTTTTTTATGTCTTTAGGCAAGTCTCTCCAGTAAGGAATGCTGGAAACTGCAAAACCTTGTTTTCATTCATCAGCTTAAGGAGGTAAGCATAGAGAATTCCTATGGGTCTAATGAAATTGAGTTTGCAATGTATGTTCTGTGAGAATTTGGTTCCCGGAACAGTAAGTGAAAGTCTATGTTGCCTATTAATCTCCCTCTTGCGCACACGACACACATTTTTCTTGTGCTAATTTGTAGAATCATTTTCTTATAATTTAGGGAAACTTTATTTAAACCCAACAATTTCTTAAGAAAACCCTCCTATTAAAAGAATTAAAAGTCAAAATGTAACCTTAGAGTAAATAGCAGCAAAAGGGTTAGCTAGTTTCTTTTAATGTTCTACTTTTTATGTAGTGAGGATTTGGGGTAAGTCACACAATTGGGAAATCATAATAAGTAAGTATTGAACTCGCAATCCAAGTAAGTTAAACTTGAGACATCTCACTTACAAGTTAGAGAAGAATATCGCTAGACCGTAGTGCTATTGGCCATAAGACAAGCTAGTTTGAAAAAGACAACTCTGAAACTGCTATCAATATTCACAAACTCCTCATAGTCATCGCTTATCTCCAACTAAAAATCCTAAGTCCTAAGTGAAACTTGTATAATCTCTGCCCTAGCTTCATTACAGTGTAAATAAATAAGTTAAGACAAATTAAACATAATCTCAAATTGCATTTTGTTGGTCTTCAAATGAGATATGAATATAATTTTTGAGTTTGACAAATCAGCACTTAATGTGGAATGTACCATGTACTTCATCAATCTAGAGGTTTGGCAGTGTGGTACCGTACATCCTTCTTCGGGTTTAATGGGGTTAGTTTTGGAATATATTGCGTGTACTTGCATATTTTTACGTTCCTTGTTGGAGGGGGTTTAGATCAACATATTAAGTTTGGCGAGTTTATGGAATAGTTGGGTTAAACAGAGGCACCCACAACTTATCGTCAAAAGATGAATTTAGAAAGTTATGTTTCTATTTGGTAATTTTGAATAATTTGCTTCTTTTTTTTTTTTTTTTTTTTTTTTTGCACAGCAAATTCATTTGTTTTTATGTTTTCAGGCAAGTCACTTTGGTAATGAATACTGGAAACTGCAAAACCTTGCTTTCATTCATCAGCTTAAGGAGGTAAGCATAGTGAATTCCTATGGATCTAATGAAATCGAGTTTGCAAGATATATTCTCGAGCGTGCTCAAAATTTGAAGAAAATGGTCATTGTTCATCGTGACGATGATGCTCCATCAAAAGTTGCTGGGATGGTGAGTAGGAGCAAGATGATTTCCAGTGCTTCCATTCTCATCCAGCAGGATCCACACAGGATTTACAGAATTTGTGGTCCGGGATCTTATATTTTGTATTCGGGACCTGATATATTGAAATCTGGGATAGTGACTATGAGCTCTTAGACACTTAGCAAATAAGAGAGATTTTCGGGTTCTAGAAGGTAGAAGGTTTGATTTTTTTTTTTTTTAAGGGTAAATAAAAAAACATTTCGTACGTCTTTTAACAGTTTGCACGAGTAGAAATCAAACTCAAGGTGCAACTGAGAACCAGCTTTTGGAATTAAACCAAGATTAGATTACAACTCTCATGTTGCATTACATTAATTGACAGGATATTTTTCTCTTGCTTCACACAAACCTAATTTGTCTAGCAAGGCACAAAAAATAATAATATTGAAATAAGGGTTACATTTTTGTTCCTAGAGACATTGCACTTGCAATGAATTCACGTATTGGTTTGAAACTTTGCACTCGAAAAATACTCATTACAACAAAAGGAAACATGGTCACCTATTTCAAGATATCGTTCTAATCGAAATTACCCATAACAAAATAAAATAAAATAAATCTTAGATTGGTTGCACAAAATATAATCTCAAAGAATTCCTTAAGCTATCAAGTCCAAAGCCAAACCAAAAAAATCATCAAATGTGCACAAAATATAATCTCAAAGAATCCATTAAGCCATCATGTCCAAAACCAAACCAAAAACATTATCTAAGCACATCTCCAAATTTTGTGGGTTAAATTTTTTGCCCGAGATTATTAAAAAATGAATTTAAGATCATTTTTTAAGTAACTTTTTGTTAAAACAATTTTATGCAGACTATCCTAATTTAATTTTATGAACATTTTAACTTAAAAATATTTCGATTCCAATAAATATTGAAAAACCACCAAACTGACATCATGAAACTCTTGTAACACTATGAAAGAATATGAAATACATGAAAGAATTGTTTTTAATTATTTTAGTTGTTGGAAGTTTGAACCGTCACATCTTTTTTTATTACCGTTGGATACGATGATATTATATTTTAGCCATTGAATTCAATGAATTTATAAATATAAAACTAAAAAAAATACACATATATGATGGCTCAGCCCACTAACTCAGGGAGAATCTAACCCAAATTTGACCCAAGGGTTGGAGTAAGTTGGGGTAGGCTTACAAATTAAAATTTGAGTTTTATTCAAAGGAGTAGGTCTAAAGCAAATGTTCGTAGTCTGCAATAAAAAAATTCACATTATTGCTTGGAATGAACTACCAGATAGCAATCCTATCTAGATTAGATGTCTCCCAGTCCATGATTAGGGTAAAATCCTAAGAAATCTTTGAAGGAAATTCATATAAATCTTGATAAATCCACGAAAGAAATTCATACAAATCCATAGAAATCTATATTAGAAATCCATATAAATCTGACGAAATCTATATAGAATTGAGAATCTTTTAAAATCCTTTGAAATTTATCACTTAAAAAAATCTATTAAAATCCCGTGAAATCTATATAGAATGGATGTGAAGATAATTTTACATTTTGAATTAGGTTTGAGAGGGTAGTTTAGGTAATAAATTTGAGTTTAAAAAGATATTAATTCTTTAATAAAAAATAATATAAATGAAAAGAGTAAGTTAGATGTAGAAAAAATTTAGTTGAATTCAAATAAAATTTTCCTTTTACCTCTCTCTGGATTTTGTGATATATAAAATTACCAAAAAGCGAAAAAATTATTTTCCTTGGACACTGTTGGTTTTGTAACCATCGGATTCGATTTTCTATTTGAGATCGGACTCCTAGGTCTTCAATGTCGACGGGTGAGTGAAAGGTACTGGCTTCCGCGCTCTGTGGGGGCGCGTCGACGTTCATATAAAGCTTCAACTCTCCTTCTGCTTGAGCTCGTCGGCGACGAAGTGGATGGGCTACAAATACTGCCGCAGAATCCGCCGCTTATCGGCTTTCCGGACCTTCAACACCAAATTTCTACTCCCGCCGCCGTTCTAAAAGGGAGGAGGGGATTGAATTTTGATCATAAGTGATTTGTTTGCGGAACATTACTTTTCCGAAAACTCTGATTTCAAGTTGGATTTCTGTCTAATTGTACACCTTGGTGATTGTGGTAGGGCCTGGAAAGTGTTTGATAGAATGCTTCTGTGAGAATTTAATTAGGTATTTGGCAAGGGCATCCTCTTTATCTCTAGTAGCTCCGACCACCGCCTTCAGGAGTCACTATGATGGGGCGCAAGCTTAAGCTCCGGACATCTCCATGTTGTGAAGATGAAGGAACTTGTTCTGAAAGTGGAGTAGACAGATTTAGTGTTCTTCCGGAGGAAGTTGCTCATCATATTCTTTCCTTCCTCAATTTCAAAGACCTCACTCGAGTAGGTGTTCTGTCCAAAAGATGGAGACAATTTCATCTCTCAGTTCTGGTAGTGGATTTTGGTACAAATCGGTGGACAGATATAAAACAAGTGGATTTGGCGAGGATGATGACTTCTTTTGATAGATACTTGCTTGATCGTGGTAATAACAGGATGCAGCGAGTCCGCATCGGCTTGAGTTCCTATGTAAATGAAACAGCGGAGAAAGTCTCTGATGACCATTCTCAAGCAATCAAGTGGATTCGTAATGCAGTAAGGTGTAATGTTGAAGAGCTTGATCTCTATTTCTCACACATTGTTAGTACGAGTACGTTGTCGATGCCATCTTTCATCTTCCATTCTCAATCTTTGTGCTCTCTTTCGGTGTCCTTGAATACATTCATTTCGGAGGTTGTTGAAGTGCCATGTTTATCCTTTTCTAGTAATCTCTGTTACTTATCATTGAGTTCTGTCAAAATAGTACACGAGAGGATTTTCAAATGGATCTCATGTTGCTGCAAATGCCTTCCGGAATTACGTCTTATTTCTATAGACAACTATAACGTCTTATTTCTATAGACGACAACTACAACAACAACAACAACAAAGCCTTTTCCCACTAAGTGGGGTCGGCTATATGAATCCTAGAACGCCATTGCACTCGGTTTTGTGTCATGTCCTCCGTTAGATCCAAGTACTCAAGTCTTTTCTTAGGGTCTCTTCCAAAGTTTTCCTAGGTCTTCCTCTACCCCTTCGGCCCTGAACCTCTATCTCGTAGTCACATTTTCGAACCGGAGCGTCAGTAGGCCTTCTTTGCACATGTCCAAACCATCGAAACCGATTTTCTCTCATATTTCCTTCAATTTTGGCTACTCCTACTTTACCTCGGATATCCTCATTCCCAATCTTATCCTTTCTCGTGTGCCCATACATCCCACGAAGCATCCTCATCGCCGCTACACTCATTTTGTGTACGTGTTGATGCTTCACCGCCCAACATTCTGTGCCATACAACATCGCTGGCCTTATTGCCGTCCTATAAAATTTTCCATTGAGCTTCAGTGGCCTACGACGGTCACACAACACGCCGGATGCACTCTTACACTACATCTATCCAGCTTGTATTTTATGGTTGAGATCTCCATCTAATTCTCCGTTCTCTTGCAAGATAGATCCTAGGTAGCGAAAACAGTCACTTTTTGTGATCTTCGCTAGATTGCTCCGGTCATTAGTGTGGATAAGTATATAAATGGATAGAGATAGGAAAGCAAACACAAGATGTACGTGGTTCACCCAGATTGGCTACGTCCACGGAATAGAGGAGTTCTCATTAATTGTGAAGGGTTTACACAAGTACATAGGTTCAAGTTCTCCTTTAGTGAGTACAAGTGAATGATTTAGTACAAATGACATTAGGAAATATTGTGGGAGAATGATCTTGTAACCACGAAACTTCTAAGTACCGGAGTGTGGTATCGTCTTGACTTGCCTTATCTGTCTCATAGGTAGATGTGGACATTTTCTCTGGAAGTACTCTTCCTCCATCCAGGGGTGGTATCTGTAACTGGTGGAGATGCACAAGGTAGTGTATCAATTTCACTTGAAGCTTACTTGTAGTTTCAGGCTTGGTCAAGCGCGATACAAACCATGTAGTAGGAGTCCCCCAAGTCGCCGAGCTAGGGGATCTGCTGAAAGAGGTGACAGACAAGGTAAGCAATCAGAGCTCTGGCTGATTGTTCACCATTCTCCCCTATCTTGCAGGCAGCATGAAGGATAAAGAGAAGAAAAATGAGAAAGAGATGATACGGGATACTTTTGCTTTTGAAGAAGTAACTTTCCACAGGCTTATTCTTGAACTGGGCTGGAGGGTTTTCTGGTTTCCTCCAGAGTATAAGGCCGACTGAAGAATTTGAGGGTCAAAACAAGTCCATCAAATCTAGAGTACGTTCGACCCTGCTGATATGGGATACTTTTGCTTTTGACAGAGTAAGTGGATGTATCGGCACGTGTGCTGTTACGCTTGTCTCCACATGCTTCCTTGTATCCTTCTCACTTGCCCTATCTGTTCCTCAAGGCAGATGTGGTATCTTCCCTGGAAGCATAAGATGTTGAAGATGAGTACTCAAGAGCAATGCCAGGTAAGTAATCAGGTAAGGGGTTCCAGGCAGTCAGTTCCTGGCTGGAAGCTTGATTCCAAGTGCTGACTGATTGCTCTCTTTCTCCTTGTCTTGCAGGTAAGAACAAGGCCAAAGGAAAAGACAGGGAAAAAGCATGATATGGGATACTCTTGCTTTTAACCCTGATGATATGAGATATTCTTGCTCTAGTATAGCTTGTTTACAGAGGTATTATCGGGGGGAAAGAAAGCTGAATATTTCGAAAGGCTTCGTTGGGAGTGCCCTCTCAGATAAGAGGAAGGGTTGGGCATTTTTGCAGGTCTGCCTGTCCATTGGGGATGGAGGTCGACATATATAGGAGTCTCCCTAACATCAAGTAATAATGCTATTCATTTACCCTGATTGGTCATAGCACGGTAGTGGGAGCTGCCAGCTTCACATGTTTTAACTTTGTTAGAGCACTTTGAAAAAGTGGTCTGTGGTATCTGGAAAGCTGATGTTACGTGTGAAGATTAGAGACAAGCTTTATCTAAGGAGATCCAGCTCTTGAAGTTGGGAAAGTGGTGCCTCTTCGGTTTTCGAACAAGCAATCCTGTCAGGGATCTGGCTCTCAAGATTCGGAGAACGATGCCTCTTCGATTTTTGAGAAAGCAATCTGCTGGGGGTCTGGCTCTCAAGATTCGGAGAGCGGTGTCTCTTCGATTTTTGAGAAAGTAATAATGTTGGGAGTCTGGCTCTCGAGATTCGGAGGGCGGTGCCTCCTCGATTTTGGAGCAAGCAATTTTGTTGGGAGTGTTTTCTCGAATGTGAGTAAAGGTTGGGCATGTTTGCTAGTCTACCTTGCCACGAAGCACAGAGGTTGACACACAGGGACTTTCCAATTATCCAGCAGTGGTACTGTTCCTTTACCCTCTCTTCGATTTTTGATAATCATGTTGGGAGTCTGGCTCTCGAGATTTGGAGGGCGGTGCCTCTTCGATTTTGGAGCAAGCAGTTTTGTTGGGAGTGTTTCTCGAATGTGAGTAAAGATTGGGCATGTTTGCTAGTCTACCTTGCCACGAAGCACAGAGGTTGACATACAAGGACTTTCCAATTATCCAGCAGTGGTACTGTTTCTTTACCCTCTCTTCGATTTTTGAGAAAGTAATCATGTTGGGAGTCTGGCTCTCGAGATTCAGAGGACGGTGCCTCTTCGATTTTGGAGCAAGCAATCTTGTTGGGAGTGTTTTCTCGAATGTGAGTAAAGGTTGGGCATGTTTGCTAGTCTACCTTGCCACGAAGCACAGAGGTTGACACATCAGGACTTTTCAATTATCCAGCAGTGGTACTGTTCCTTTACCCTTGTGGGTAATAATATGGTAGCTAGAGTTTCAAAATTTATGTGTCTAAACTTTGTTAGTGTTGTTTCTTTGCTATTCTTGGTCAGAGCGATGTAGTGGGAGCTGCAAACTTCACGTGTCTCAACTTTGTCAGAGAACTTTGGCAAAGTTATCTGTGGTACCCATGAGCTATTGTTGCGTGTGGGAAGTGGGTGATTGAACAGTACGATTCATGTGCTTTCTACTTCGCCAGAAATCTTCGACAGAATGCCCATAATTTCCGCAAAGCTGAGTGTGCGTGTGAAAAGTGCTGACAAGGCTGGAAAAGTAGGTGCCTCTTCGATTTCTGAGATCGGCCCTCGTGGTCTCTGAGCAGCCCAGCTTTTGAAAAGCAAGCGCCTCTTCGATTTCTGAGATCGGCCTTCGTGGTCTTTGAGCAGCCCAGCTTTTGAGAAAACAAACGCCTCTTCGATTTCTGAAATCGACCATCGTGGTCTCTGAGCAGCCCAGCTTTTGAGAAAGCAAACGCCTCTTCGATTTCTGAGCAGGCGCCTCTTCGATTTCTGAAGCTTCGTCGAGTGCAGATTTTTTATAGGGGCTGGCATTAAGTTCCAAAGCACACTTGAATCTCCACCAGTAGAAGCTCCATTCTTGCACTTCTAAGATCTTGATTTGTCCGACCTCTTCTCTCTTCAAACACCTTTGAAAATGTCTGGCCCCTCCGACCGTCGTTTTGACTTGAACCTTGTTGAAGAGGCAGCCCCGCCTTCTCCAGACAACATATGGCGCCCATCCTTCGTCTCCCCTACTGGTCCTCTTACCGTTGGGGATTCCGTGATGAAGAATGATATGACCGCTGCGGTAGTGGCCAGGAACCTTCTCACTCCCAAAGATAACAGACTACTTTCCAAACGGTCTGATGAGTTGGCTGTTAAGGATTCTCTGGCTCTCAGTGTTCAGTGTGCAGGTTCTGTGTCTAATATGGCCCAACGCCTATTTGCTCGAACCCGCCAAGTTGAATCATTGGCGGCTGAAGTGATGAGTCTCAAACAGGAGATTAGAGGGCTCAAGCATGAGAATAAACAGTTGCACCGGCTCGCACATGACTATGCTACAAACATGAAGAGGAAGCTTGACCAGATGAAGGAATCTGATGGTCAGGTTTTACTTGATCATCAGAGATTTGTGGGTTTGTTCCAAAGGCATTTATTGCCTTCGTCTTCTGGGGCTGTACCGCGTAATGAAGCTCCAAATGATCAACCTCTGATGCCTTCCTCCTTCTAGGGTTCTGTCCAGTACTGAGGCTCCGAATGATCCCCCTCCGGTGCCTTCTCTTTCTGGGGCTCTACCGACTGCTGAGACTTCTCCTAAGCAACCTTTGTGAAGGCTCCCTCTTGTTTGTTTATTTTGACTCAATGTATATGTACATATTTGTAACTTATCGGGGATATCAATAAATAAGTTTTCCTTCATTTCAACGTATTGTGTTAAATACACCAAAGCCTTCTTCGCTAAGTTCTTTGAATTTTCTTTTGTTGAAGCTTGTATGTTGAAGCTTTGTGAGTGGAGCATGTAGGTTGGAGGTAGTGTTCCCTTTAATTTTTCCCGAGTGAGGAAAACTTCTCGGTTGAGACTTGGAAAATCCAAGTCACTGAGTGGGATCGGCTATATGAATCTTAGAACGCCATTGTGCTCTGTCCTGTGTCATGTCCTCTGTTAGATCCAAGTACTCTAAGTCTTTTCTTAGAGTCTCTTCCAAAGTTTTCCTAGGTCTTCCTCTACCCCTTCGGCCCTGAACCTCTGTCCCATAGTCGCATCTTCTAATCGGAGCGTCAGTAGGCCTTCTTTGTGCACATGTCCAAACCACCGTAACCGATTTTCTCTCATCTTTCCTTCAATTTCGGCTACTCCTACTTTACCCCGGATATCCTCATTCCTAATCTTATATTTCTCGTGTGCCCACACATCCAACGAAGCATCCTCATCTCCGCTACTACACCCATTTTTTGTGTACGTGTTGATGCTTCACCGCCCAACATTCTGTGCCATACAGCATCGCCGGCCTTTATTGCCGTCCTATAAAATTTTCCCTTGAGCTTCAGTGGCATACGGCGGTCACACAACACGCCGGATGCACTCTTCCACTTCATCCATCCAGCTTGTATTCTATGGTTGAGATCTCCATCTAATTCTTTCCGTTCTTTTGCAAGATAGATCCTAGGTAACGAAAACGGTCGCTCTTTGGTATTTCTTGATCTCCGATCCTCACCCCTAACTCGTTTTGGCCTCCATTTGCACTGAACTTGCACTCCATATATATTCTGTCTTTGATCGGCTTAGGACGAAGACCTTTAGATTCCAACACTTCTCTCCAAAGGTTTAAGCTTTGCATTTACCCCTTCCTGAGTTTCATCTATCAACACTATATCGTCTGCGAAAAGCATACACCAAGGAATATCATCTTGAATATGTCCTGTTAACTCATCCATTACCAATGCAAAAAGGTAAGGACTTAAGGATGAGTCTTGATGTAATCCTACAGTTATGGGAAAGCTTTCGGTTTGTCCTTCATGAGTTCTTACGGCAGTCTTTGCTCCTTCATACATATCCTGTATAGCTTGGATATATGCTACTCGTACTCCTTTCTTCTCTAAAATCCTCTAAAGAATGTCTCTTGGGACCCTATCATACGCTTTTTCCAAATCTATAAAGACCATGTGTAAATCCTTTTTCCCATCTCTATATCTTTCCATCAATCTTCGTAAGAGATAGATTGCCTCCATGGTTGAGTGCCCTGGCATGAACCCGAATTTGTTGTCCGAAACCCGTGTCTCATGCCTCAATCTATGCTCAATGACTCTCTCCCAGAGCTTCATTGTATGACTCATTAGCTCAATACCCCTATAGTTCATGCAATTTTGTACATCGCCCTTATTCTTGTAGATAGGCACCAAAGTGCTCGTTCGCCACTCATTTGGCATATTCTTCGTTTTCAAAATCCTATTGAAAAGGTCAGTGAGCCATGTTATACCTGTCTCTCCCAAAACTTTCCACACTTCGATTGGTATATCGTCTGGGCCTACTGCTTTTCTATGCTTCATCTTCTTCAAAGCTACAACCACTTCTTCCTTCTGGATTCTACGATAAAAAGAGTAATTTCTACACTCTTCTGAGTTACTCAACTCCCCTAAAGAAGCACTCCTTTCATGTCCTTCATTGAAAAGATTATGAAAAATAACCATTTCCATCTGTCTTTAACCGCGTTCTCTGTAGCAAGAACCTTTCCATCCTCATCCTTGATGCACCTCACTTGGTTTAGGTCCCTTGTCTTCTTTTCCCTTGCTCTAGCTAGTTTATAGATATCCAACTCTCCTTCTTTGGTATCTAGTCGCTTATACATATCGTCATAAGCCGCTAACTTAGCTTCTCTCATAGCTTTCTTCGCCTCTTGCTTCGCTTTTCTATACCTTTCACAATTTTCATCGGTCCTATCCTTGTACAAGGCTTTACAACATTCCTTCTTAGCCTTCACCTTTGTTTGTACCTCCTCATTCCACCACCAAGATTCCTTTTGGTGTGGGGCAAAGCCCTTAGACTCTCCTAATACCTCTTTTGCTACTTTTCGGATACAACTAGCCATGGAATCCCACATTTGGTTAGCTTCCCCCTCTCTATCCCACACACACTGGGTGATTACTTTCTCTTTGAAAATGGCTTGTTTTTCTTCTTTTAGATTCCACCATCTAGTCCTTGGGCACTTCCAAGTCTTGTTCTTTTTTCTCACTCTTTTGATATGTACATCCATCACCAACAAGCGATGTTGATTAGCCACGCTCTCTCCTGGTATAACTTTGCAATCCTTACAAGTTATACGATCCCCTTTCCTCATCCATCTTACTGTATCGGGTTAGAAACTTGAAAAGATAGATATGGACTGGGGTGGTTACGATGTATTTGCCAGCAGAGAAAGCACAAATAGCAACACATCATTGAAGATTTTTGCTCCAAATCTTAAAACTTTGAAATGGAAAGGGGAGTTGAGGAATAGCCAAAGTCTGGGACGTTTAGAGAGTTTGGAAGCAGTTGAGATTTTATTAGAGCCTCCGAAAAATGAGTTTGACAAAGTCTAGGAGGTTCTTCGCAGTATATGCTTGGCAAAAGTTCTTATTATAAACGGGAAGCCCATTAAGGTAAAGTTCACTCTATTCTCCTGACGTTTTTCATATTAATCTCCCTCTCACGCACACGACACACATTTTTCTTGTGCTAATTTGTAGAATCTTTTTCGTATAAATTAGGGCGGCTTTATTTACACCCAACAATATCTTAAGAAAACCCCCTATTAAAAGAATGAAAACTCAAAATTTAACCTAGATTAAATGACGGCAAAAGGGTTAGCTAGTTTCCTTTTATGTTATATTTTTTATGTAGCGATTTATTGTTAGTGGGTGGGCTACTGCTAGACCATGGTACTAGCGGCCATAATAATTAGGTATTGAACTTGTTTTCCAAGTAAGTCAGTTTTGAGAAACCTCACTAACAAGTTAGAGAAGAATATTGCTAGACCGTAGTGCTATTTGACATAAGATTACAACTATGAAATTGCTTTAAAATATCAAGAAACTCAACATAGTCATGACTTATCTCAAACTAAAAATCCTATATGAAACTTATATTAATCTCTCACTAGATTCATTATGTTGTAAGGAAATAAGTTAAAACAAATCAAATAATAGCCTCTCAAATTGTGTTTTGTGGGTCTTCAAATGAGATATGAATATAATTTTCGAGCTTGATTTCAAATTTATTTGTTTTTCATAAAACATGTTTGACAAACCAGCACTACATGCATAATCTAACATCTAGCGGAAATCATTATAAAGGTTTGGCAGTGTGCCTACCGTAAACCCTTTGGGTGTATAATGGGGGTAGTTTTGGAATATATTGCGTGTAACTTACATATTTTTACATTTCCTTTTAGAGGGGGTTGGGTCAATAACATATAAAGTTGGTGAATTTATGGAATAGTTGGGTTAAACAGAGTCGCACAAAAGTTCATTTGTTTTTAATTACTTTGCATTTATTTGGTGATTTTGAATTAAATTGTTTTATGTCGTCAGGCAAGTCACTTTGGTAATGAATACTGGAAACTGCAAAAGCTTGCTTTCATTCACCAGCTCAAGGAGGTAAGCATAGAGAATTCCTATGGGTCTAATGAAATCGAGTTTCAAAGGTATATTCTCGAGCGTGCTCAAAATTTGAAAAAAATGGTCATTGTTCATCGTGATGAAAATGCTCCATCAAAAGTTGCTGGGATGATGCGTAGGAGCAGGATGATTTCCAATGCTTCAGTTCACATTCGGCAGGACCTAGACTACATCTACACTCTCTCTGGTCCGGGGATCCCACATAGCTATTTTGATGTCTCACATAGAGATTCACATAGCTTTTGAAATCGACATGTATATTGACAGGATATTTCTCTAGTAATATTTGCTTGATATTTCTCTCATGCAGCATTTGAATCTGGTGATGTTCTTAATCGATCATGCCACCAACGATTAACAGATTAGATCACCAAGATGTATGCAGCTACTTTGAAGAACAATCTTGGGTTCTCGCGCACATAAATGTCTCGGGAAACCAAGATCAAAGAATTTACATGATTTCGATCAAAAATGCAATTTCGTCAAGGTTTTTTTTATTAGCATCCCACTTACTGTTGAATACACCCCACATTCAAATTTGATATTAAATGATTTATACACTCTACCATGCAATGCTAATTTTGGCCTTATTAGGTTTAAAAAAAAAAAAAAATTTCTAAATAAACCCCAAATCACTTTTAAGGTATTATTTATCTACTTTTTTTGTCTTCCCAACAAATGCAAGCAAAATGATGAAACTGCCGGATTAGAACTTGAATGGAGTGCGAAGAAATTAACGATATTTCCTTATGTATGTCGTCTCACGGCATAACCCCAATTTAAAGAAATGATAATAGTAATAAAATAGCTAAACACAATCTCTGTTATGCAATTCAACACCAATAAATAAATATGTTTTTTTTTCATACATCTGAAAATGCAATGAAACTACATCAACATTCAGCTACGTTTTTGCCAATCTGGGCAAAGTCCTAGTCCATTCACATTACAAGAGACCCTATGATTATTCTCCATTCCCTTGCTGCTTTTACCCTCGAATTTTTGTCATTAAACCTCAGCGTATTACCTCGTCTGCCACCTTCAACAGAGTCTCAGTAGCCACATCTTCCTCCAATATTGATTGTGACTGAGTATTATAAGACGTGAAGAATGTGGGGGTGTATAAAAAATGTGGAGTGTACATAGAAAATGTAAGGTGTATGTTGAGAATGGGGGTGGGAGGGTAATATGGGAAAGTAAATGGGGTGTATTAAGATAAATTTTAATTGAAAAAGTAAATGTGGGGTGTATTAAGTATATGGGGTTTATTCAACAATATGTGAGGTGTAAATATAATAAGCCTTTCATGCCATTTCTTCTAATATCTGCAGTTCAGGCATGGGAGGAGACGGTGTGTTCACATAGGAAGGTGCAACTAACAAAATGCATGCTTAATAACGTGTCCTAAGCTTTCTATGATCTAAGATAAATTTCTGATAAGGTCGGTAAACGGCTAAAAACATTAATACGTATTGGCGAAATGTAAGTTGAAAGTTTCTAAAAACAAATCTAATTACGTAAAAATGTATACAAAAGTAATAACCATCTCAAAAGCTAAAACCTAATACTTTTGTATGAAATTTCTTCTTTTAATTTCAAATTGATAGACTTTTCAAAACCAAAATTTGAGGAATTCTTATTAAAATTTGAATATTTTTGCCGCATGCTCATTTAGGCTTGGCCCGCCATGGTTGTAAAAGCCCAGCCCATGAGAAAACCTAATTATGTAAAAAGGCAACAAAATATAAAGGATTGTTAACCCTAAACCCTAGGGGGGAGTTCCTTGTGTCTTACGTATTACACTCATCTATTTACTCTTCCTGCGAGACTTGATAGTCGAAGAAGAATTGATTCAGCCACTACCACCTGTAAGTGATTCGTTTGCAGAATATACGAGTTTTCCAAAAGCTCTTATTCCAATTAGGATTTCTGTCTAATTTTACACTTTTGATTTTTGAAAAACTGGTGGGCTTGTTGATTTCTAGGGTTTCCTGAAATTTAGTTGATTGTGGTAGTGCCTGGAAAGTGTTTGATAGAATCCCTCTATGAGAATTTAATTAGGTATTTGGCAAGGACATCCTGTTTAGCTGTAAACGTTTTTTGACTATGTAGTTTTGATATAATGTTGCAATTGTTGGTTGCAGGAAAGGATTATCTCTGGTAGATCGTAAAAGAATTGTGCTCGATTACTGAGCTTCTTTTCATTTTCTGTTTATATAGAACTTTACAAGTATAGTTAATTAGAACTTTACAGGTATAGTGAATATTTCACATGGATACATTGCATCAATGTTTCTGCATCTGAGTATGGGCAGCATTTGTTTAATGCATGCGTGGGCAGCATTTGTTTAATGCATCTGCATCTGAGTATGGGCAGCATTTGTTTAATGCATGCGTGGGCAGCATTTGTTTAATGCATGCGTTGAGTGTATTGTAGAGTCATTCACATGGGCAGCATTTGTTTAATGCATGCGTTGTATGTATTGCAGAGTCATGCAGAGTCATTCACAACACTTGGTTTATCACACCCCCGCAAGCTGAGCGGTTGCCGGCTAACGGGAAGCTTGGAAAGAAGATAATTGAAACGATAAGTGGACAATCCTTTGGTCAGGAAATCAGCAAGTTGATCTTGCGTAGCAACATAACCAACTTGTAATTCCTGGCGTGTGACCTTTTCCTGAATGTAATGATAATCGACTTCGACATGGCGAGTGCGGGCATGAAAGACAGGGTTTGAGGCAAGGGAGATTGCAGAAATATTATCACACCACACCTTTGGAGGAGATAGATGAAGATGCAGGTCTTTGAAGAGCTTACGAAACCAAGAAATAGTAGCTGCAGTTATGGCAAGTTGTCTGTATTCTGATTCTGTGTTAGAGCGAGACACTCCTTTTTGTTTCTTAGAACTCTAGGACACAAGGTTTGGACCAAGAAATATACAGTACCCGCCAGTGGATTTGCGATCATCCGGATCTCCTGCATAATCAGAGTCGGCAAAGGCAGTGAGGGTGAGAGGTCCAGGTTTATACACAAGGCCATGATCTGGTGTGGACTTCAAATAGCGAAGTATTCTTTTAACAGCAATCCAGTGTGTTGTGGTTGGTTGATGCATGAACTGGCAAACCTGGTTGACAGAGAAGGCAATATCAGGACGGGTGAAAGTGAGATATTGGAGTGCACCCACTACACTCCGGAACTTAGTAATATCTTGTAATGGTTCGCCGTCATATAAGCTGAGACGTTTGCCACTGACTGCAGGAGTGGAGACAGGTTTACAGGCCACCATGTTTGTACGGTGAAGCAAATCAGAAATATATTTAGACTGTGAGAGATGAATGCCATTACTAGAGCGATGAACCTCCATACCCAAAAAATAATGGAGAGGACCAAGATCTTTCATTGAAAAAAACCGAGCCCATGTCCTTGATCAAGGTGTTTATACACTGAATGTTGTTGCCTGTGATAAGGATGTCATCTACATAGATTAATAAGTAAATACGAATTAAACCATGACAATACACAAAGAGAGATGAATCTGCTTGGGAGGCCACGAAACCCAGGTGTTCCAGATGATTAGAAAAACATTGGAACCATGCCCTAGGGCCTGTTTAAGACCATACAGAGAGCACCGCAATTTACAGACATGTGTGGGATATTGAGGATCAACAAAACCTATAGGTTGTTTCATGTAAACTTCATCAGATATTGAACCATGTAAAAATGCATTTTGAACATCCAGTTGGCGTATAGGCCATGAAAAATGAACAGCCATAGCAATAATAAGGCGGATGGTTGAGTGTGTCACCACTGGACTGAAAGTTTCTCCATAATCAAGACCTGGTTGTTGATGAAAACCATTGGCCACAAGACGAGCCTTAAACCTGTCAATCGACCCATCAGACTTTCGTTTAATACGAAAAACCCATTTATTTGGTAATACATTCATGGTAGGATTATAAGGTACCAAAGACCATGTGCCCGCCCGTTGTAGGGCATTGAATTCATCAGCCATAGATGTCCTCCATTCTTGAAATTTATTGGCTTGACTGTAGCAGGTAGGTTCAGACATAGCAGTGATGGTGGAAGTATGGGCATACTTAGGGTTAGGTTTAGAAATGCCAGCTTTTGCATGTGTAACCATAGGATGGATGGTTGGGGGGGCTATAGTGATTGGGGTTGTCGAAATGGGAGGGAGTAGTGTATGGTATGGCGGGATGAGTGTAAAGATGATTGGATGGGAGAAGAAGTAGGAGTCAAAGGGTGGGTGATAGAGACGGGTGAGGGAAAGTGATTGTCTGAAAAAGTGTTGGAATGGGTGAGGGAAGTATGGGATAGAGTAGGATGAGATGGCGAATTTTGTGGGGATGGAAAAGTGAGTTCAGATGTCCCAAGAGGAACAGGATTGCTATCATGCAGAGAGGATGAGACGGGAGTAACACTGAGATTGTCATGAAATGGAAAACAATTTTCATCAAAAATAACATGTTTAGACATGAAGACACGACCTGTGCATGGGTCAAGACATCTATACCCTAATTGATTTTGAGAATAACCTAAGAAAACACATTTCTTGGAACGAAAATGCAATTTGTTTGACATGTATGGACGTAGGTATGGAAAGCAAGCACACCCAAAAACCTTAAAAAAATCATAAGATGGTTCTCGATTAAACAATTTTGTGTATGGAGAAGTTAATTTCAAAACTTTAGTTGGCAGTCGATTAATCAAAAAATTAGCAGTATGTAGAGCTTCAGCCCAATAGGTTTGTGGCATGGATGCATGAGCAAGAAGAGTGAGACCAGTTTCAACCAAATGACGATGTTTTCGTTCTGCCATACCGTTTTGTTCAGGATGGTGAGGGCATGTATATTGATGATGAATGCCATGTTTTTTCAAATAAGATTTGAAAGTTTTGTTAATATATTCTCCTCCACCATCCGTTTGAAAAGTTTGGATTTTTGTTTGAAATTTATTCTCCATTTCAGTTTGAAATTTAATAAATGTTGAGAACACATCAGATTTTAGTTTTAATGGATAAAGCCATGTATATCGTGAATAATCATCAATGAAAATCACATAATAGCGAAAACCAAAAATTGACAAAGTAGGGGACGTCCAGACATCAGAATGAATAAGTTGTAAAGGAAAATGAGAAATAGAATTTGATGGGGAAAATGGCAATTTCTTGCTTTTGCCCAGAGGGCATGAATGACAGACAGAATTAAAATGGTGCCTAGTAAGAGGCACTTTGCTAGAGGAAGCTAAATGCTTTAAAATAAATAACGAAGGATGACCGAGTCTAGAGTGCCAAATACGATCATCAACCTTGACTCCCATGCACGAAAACAGTCCATGTCTTTTAATGGAATTAAAACTTGAATAAGGATAAACACTAGTGTTACTCCGGCCTGATAAAAGGATCCTCCCCGAGCGGATATCCTGAACACGGAAGAAATTAGGATGAAGGACAAAGAAACAGTCATTGTCAGAAGAGAATTGATTGATAGATAATATATTTTGAGAGGCATCAGGGCAATATAAAGTATTTTTAAGAGTATAGGATTTAGTAGGAGAGTAAATAAAAGAGGTGCCTATGTGGGAAATGTGCAAACCTTGACCACCATTAACACCACCGACTTGATCTATGCCTGTGTACTCCTGTGCATTTGTAAGTTGTCCAGGATCATTAGTAATATGTGTGTTCTCTCCAGAGTCCAGAAGCCATGTTGTGGGAGCATGAGATGCAGACTGGGGTACACGGGTTGACTGTGCAGCAAGGGCTGTGAGACGAGCACTTGGAACACGGCCTTCATAAGAAGTATTCATACGGTTGTAACAGTCAATGGCAGAGTGACCATTACGACGACAAATCTGACAGCGAAGTGGTGGACGATCAGACGAAGAGGGACCTGCACCAAGGATACCGCCATGGGGACGTCCTGGATGAGGAGCAGCAGCAACATGTGGGCGAGCCTGATTGCCACTACGAGGATGGACAGCACCACGGCCTCCACCACGGGCAAAGCCTGCATGAGCAGTCTGCCGACGTCCACGATTAGCAAACATGGCAGTCAAGACAGGAGTGTCTCCAGACAAATTGAAGGTAAGGTGACGAGCTTCAGCACTGAGCAGCAGTGCTTCCAAAGCAGCATACGAAATAGGATTTTCTCGGGCTTGAATGGAGGCGACTGTGTTCTCATACAGTGGTCCAACATTATTCATGATCGTGGCAATTAAGTTCGAGTCAGCAATGGGAGAACCAGATAAGGCTAACTGATCAGCCAAGGTGTTGAGTTTGTCCAAATAATCGGCAATACTGAGATCACCACGCCGGAGATTGAGAAGTTCCCCGCGGAGTTGAATAACACGATTGTGGGAGGAAGGTGCATATCGGTCCTGTAAAGCCTTCCAGGCCTCGGCCTCGCAGCACTAACACATTTGACGACAACATGCATAACAGGAGGAGAGAGAGAACTAGTCAGCCATGATAGAACCATCTGGTCAGTTTGGATCCAAGGTTCGAAGAGAGGATTGATGGTGTCAGTGAGTTGACCATCATCATCATTCAGTTGATGAGCAGAAGGGCACTGAGAAGTGCCATCACAACATATGCATCATCAAACTGCGACTGCGAGAAGAAGGGGAACAAACTGGGCACGCCACAAGGGATAATTATGGCGATCAAGTTTTAGAGGAAGAAATGCAGAAACATTAGTGAGGGCAGCGGAAGAAGACATTGTATTTGGAAGAGAAATATGTTGTAAGACTTGGAAAAGGGATGATACCATAAAAGAATTGTGCTCGATTACTGAGCTTCTTTTCATTTTCTGTTTATATAGAACTTTACAAGTATAGTTAATTAGAACTTTACAGGTATAGTGAATATTTCACATGGATACACTGCATCAATGTTTCTGCATCTGAGTATGGGCAGCATTTGTTTAATGCATGCGTGGGCAGCATTTGTTTAATGCATCTGCATCTGAGTATGGGCAGCATTTGTTTAATGCATGCGTTGAGTGTATTGCAGAGTCATTCACATGGGCAGCATTTGTTTAATGCATGTGTTGTATGTATTGCAGAGTCATGCAGAGTCATTCACAACACTTGGTTTATCAGATCGGGCCTTGAGGAGTCACTGCGATGGGGAGCAAGCGTAAGCTCCGGGCATCTACAAGTTGTCAAGCTGAAGGAACTTCCTCCGAAAGTGGAATAGACAGATTTAGTGATCTTCCGGAGGAAGTTGCTCATCATATTCTTTCCTTCCTCAATTTCAAAGACTACACTCGAGTGGGTGCTCTGTCCAAAAGATGCAGACAAATTCATCTATCAGCTCCGGAAATGGATTTTGGTGCAATTTCAGAAGTTATTATTATGAACGAGAAGACCATTAAGGTAAAGTTCATTCTATTCTCCGGACGTTTTTGGTAAAAACAGTATAAAATAATCTCATGACTTGAGAGTTTTCACTTTTCAATCATGGAGATTGCATTCTTATTATGATGGCATACTTGTGATATTTGTGAGACTTGTTGGGAAATGTAAGTTCTTATTTACACGCAAGTTCTGTCCGATGAAGGAACTTAAAAAGCATTTGAATTTATGGAAAAACTTGCAGGCGCTCTACCAGGAAGGCTCCAAGCCAACACGAATATGGGATAAAATTCAGAACTTGAGTATACATTGTGAGAGCTTGAATAACAAGCTTGTTCCTGCAGTGGTATCTCTTCTTAGGAGAATGCCTAATCTGAATATTTTGTGCATAAAGACTAGCTGTGAGAAGTTGGCTCCAGAAAAAGTAAGTGAAAGTCTATGTTGCCTATTCATCTCCGTCTCACGCACACGACACATTTTTCTTGTGCTAATTTGTAGAATCATTTGCTTATAAATTAGGGCGGCTTTATTACAAGCCAAAAATTTCTTAAGAATTCCATCCTATTAAAAGAATGAAAACTCGAAATTTAAACTAGATTAAATAACAGCAAAAGTGTTAGCTAGTTTCTTTATATTTATTTTTGACGTAGTGATATATTGTCAGTGGATGGGGTATTGATAGGTTGAACTCGTCTTCCAAGTAAGTCAAATTTGAGAGATCTCACTTACAAGTTAGAGAAGAAATTGCTAGACCGAAGTGCTAGTTGACTATAAAACTACTAGCAAATATCTAGAAAATCAATATAGTCATCACTTATCTCCAACTAAAAATCCAAACTAAAACTTATATTAATCTCTCACTAGATTCATTATAGTGTAAGAAAATAAGTTAAAACAAGTCAAATAACAGCCTGTCAAATTGAGTTTTGTGGTTCTTCAAATGAGATATTAATATAATTTTCTAGCTTGATATCAACTTTATTTGTTTTTCATTAAACATGTTTGACAAACCAGCACTGAATGCGTATAATGGTATTAGTTTTGGAATATTGCGTGTGACTTGCATTTTTTTTACATTTCCTTTTAGAGGGGGTTGGGTCAATAACATATAATGTCGGTGAATTTATGGAATAGTTGGGTTAAACAGCACACACAAATTATCGTGAAAAAATGGCAAAGGTATATGTATTTATTTGGTGATTTTGAATTAATTTGTTTTTATGTTTTTAGGCAAGTCACTTTGGTAATGAATACTGGAAACTGCAAAACCTTGCTTTCATTTACCAGCTTAAGGAGGTAAGCATAGAGAATTCCTATGGGTCTAATGAAATCGAGTTTGCAAGGTATATTCTCGACCATGCTCGAAATTTGAGGAAAATGGTTATTGCTTATCGTGATCAAAATGCTCCATCAAAAATTGTTGGGATGGTGAATAGGTGCAATAGGATTTCCACTCCTGTAGTTATCATTCGGCAGATCTAGACGACACCTACACAATCTCTTATCATGGTCCGGTTATCTTACAGACCGATTTTGATAGTTCATATTGTGATTCGGAGATCTCAGATAGAGAATTAACTTATTGAGCAAGCAAAGGGTTTTTTGGGATAGAAAAGGAAGAACGTTTGATATTTAAAGAAAAAAACATTATATATGTTCTTGTCATAGTACATTACATTAATAGGACATTTCTACAATATTTCTTTTGTAATATCTCTTTACAATTTGCATCACCCAAACCTAAATTGTCTTGCAAGGCACAAAAATTAATAATTTGGGATTAAAAGAAATCAAGAGCTCTTATTCCTTCTTTCATAATTTCTCTCATATACTTCTCATCCATCATTTCCCTCACATTCCTTCTTTATATATATCTCAAATATAAAAAATTGGGTTGTGCCACACTATTGGCCAACCACTAACTTGCTATTAAACTCAACACAAATATAATACATCGAAGTTAAGAATTCATACTTACAAGTGAAGAGGGATACCACTAAATTATAGTACTAGTACGTAATCAAATCAAAAATTAGGAACAAAATAATTATCAAACAGACAAATAAAGTTATTTTAATTAATGGGCCAATAAACAAGGTCGAGGAATTGAACCAGTAGGATGAATTGGGTCAATGGGTCAATAAACCTTAAGGCTATATGTTGGTAATTTCAATTTGAGATCCTGAGCCTCTACATTTAAACTTTGTTAATTTACCTGCATTTCATTGTATTTTAGCCATTAGATCAATTTATTGATTAAAAGCTTTACGCGTCAACTACAATTAACTATAGTTTTTAGAAAAAATAAAAATAAATAAAAAATCTCCCTATCAAAGACTAAATGTAACGATTTTTACAATAGCTTGCCGAAATACGGATAGATGCAGAAAGTCTAAATATAGATGCTCGGAATCCTTCCTATTGTATATGTTGTGTTTTCAATATGCTCCGCTATTAGAGGGTGGCTATATTTAGTGTGGGTGTATATATGGTAATATGTGTGAAGAGATCTACTCCAATGAGTCACAGGCTTCATAAAATTTCAGCCATTGCTTGCTGAAGAAGTAACCAACTTAGCCACCACCCACTGTAAGTGTTTGATGAGAATTTTATCAAATATTTGCAATGTCATTCTCGTGTGTGTGTATATAGTCAGCCAGTTATGACAAGTTGTTATAACAGTTGGTTGCTGAGAATGATTCTTTCTAGTATCTCCACGCCACGCCTTCAACTGTCACTATTATGGGTTGCAACTCGCAATAGTAAGTTTCGGGTATTAGCAAGTTGTAAAGCTCAAGGAAGTTCTGAAAGTGGAATAGACAGATTTAGTGATCTTCCGGATGAAGTTGCTAAACAGATTTGTTCTGTTAATTGTAATTTAGGCAAGGGAGGAGCTGGTGTGTTCGCATAGGAAGGTGTAACTGAAGTGGTAAAACTGTAGGACAAAAGCTTAAGAGAAAATACCTAATTCTAAAGTCTAACCCTTTAAAAATATCACATATAATTGGAGTTCAAAGAATTTTAGAATTATTTATCTTTTTTGTAAACTCTTTTAGGGAGTATAATTAGAGTTTAAAATCAGAGTACGCATTACGGACGGATGAACAAGCGACGAATAAAATTCACATGAAGTACATAGAACAATATTAAGTTGAAAATTAGATTACGCATAATGAATGAACGAACAAAAGAACAAACGGAAAAACGAAAAACCGATTACAAAGCTACAAATATTATTGAAAACAAACAATCAGTACTACAAAGATTCGTCAAAAAAGCTACATAACTCGTAAGACTATGTGACGAGCTTATTCTAAACTGAATTACAAAACATGCTATTTATAGATAATTAAATCTTAATAGTCAATAAATACAAAACCCTAATACTAACGGCCTATACTTAGAGCCTATATCTAGGCGTAAGCAAACAGAACCACGCCCCGGTTCATTGACGACTCCATAGCAGAAGAAGAAGTGATTCAGCCACTACCATACCACCTGTAAGCGATTTGTTTGCAGAACATGCCTGAAAACTTGGATTTCAATTTCGAACTTCTGTCTAATTGTACGCTTTTCGTTACCAAAAGCATGTTGATTTTGCTCGGGGTTTTCTGAAATTAGTTGATTGTGGTAGTGCCTGGAAGTGTTTGATAGAATGCCTCTGTGTGGAACTTAATTAGGTATTTGACAGTCTTGTCCGTAGTTATGATAAATTGTTGCAAATGTTGGTTGCAGGAAAGAATTATCTCTAGTAGATTTGACCACCGCCCTCAACAGTCACTTTCATGGAGCATAAGCTTACGCCCCCGGCATCTGCAAGTTGTCAAGCTCAAGGAGTTTCCTCTGAAAGTGGAATAGACAGATTTAGTGATCTTCCGGACGAAGTTGCTCATCATATTTCCTTCCTTAATTTCAAAGACCTGAATCGAGTGGGTGCTCTGTCCAAAAGATGTAGACAATTTCATCTATCAGTTCCGAGTGTGGATTTTCATACAGATCACTGGACAGACAAAGAACAAATCAAACAGCATGTAGCGAGCCTGATGAGTTCTTTTGATAGATACTTGCATTTTCGTGGATATAACAGGATGCAACGAGTCTGGATTCTCTTGAGTTTCTCTAATTGCAATAACGAGACGAAATATTGTGGTGATCAATCTCGACTACTACTCAAGTGGATTCATAATGCAGTAAGGTGTAATGTTGAAGATCTTGATCTCTATTTCTCACACTGTGTTACTAGTTCTTTTTCGTTGCCATCTTTCATCTTCCATTCTCAATCCTTGCGCTCTCTATCGGTGTCCATGGATATTCGAGTCACAGGTTGTTGAAGCGCCGTCTCTATACTTTTCTAGTAGTTTGCGTTACTTATCATTGAGTTTTGTTAAAATAGTAGATGAGAGTCTGTTCGCGTCAGGAATTTCCGTCGGGGATGTTTCCTGGCCGACGAGCACACAGCTCCCCTGAAGGTTGGCGCCGGTTGAGGGCTGCTGTCGGGCTTCTGCTTCACTATCGGGCGTTGTCGGGCAAGTCTCGTCGGGCAAGGCTCTTCGAGCAAGGCTCGTCGGGCAAGGCTCGTCGGGCAAGGCTGAAAGAGAAGGACAGCGTTAAATTTGAGAGGTGCCTTTGTGGGGCCTTAGGTGTAGGCCTTGAGGCTCACAATCAAGGTTAACATTTAGGTGCTCAGGCGTGCCACTGCCATCTTTAGCATGGCAGATGTAAAATGGATGTCGCGTTTTAGTTGCATATATGTATGTATCCAAGAAACCGTGTTAGTTATAACAGGTGCCTTTGTGGGGCCTTAGGTGTAGGCCTTGAGGCTTCCCATCAATAACTAAACCGATGCTTGAACACATCATATTTGTTCTCGTGATTGCCGGAGTTTTCTAACTATTATACTTCTGATTACCCGAGTCCAAGAAGTAGAATGAACTCAAATAGGTGCCTTCGTGGGGCCTTAGGTGTAGGCCTTGAGGCTTCCCATCAGAGTTCATTCTTATACTTCGACTCTTTAGATCGCAGAACGGAATGAATCCAAATAGATGCCTTTGTGGGGCCTTAGGTGTAGGCATTGAGGCTTTCCATTAGAATCTATTCCATGTTCAAGCGTTCTATGGTAATCATGATATAATAGAAAGAAAACTAAAGGGTAGGTTGATTACTTGCGCCCCAAGTAACTTCGGACTTCTCGTTTATCAAGGACCGTCGTGGATGGGTTAAGTCCACATAAGGTTCTTTTTTATGCCTTGAGGCCAAGGACTTTTAACTGATCAGATTTACATGCCCGAAGGCTTAGGACTTGGATTTGGTTTGAATACTGACGATATATTCAAATCGGATTCAAGTACTGAGAAAGCCTTTTAATAGTCATATTGCTAGAAATAACTTGCATATAACTGGAAGTATACAACATATTGAAAAGACAAAAACAAAGCAAAGAAGGTCGGGCAAGGTTAAACCTTATCGGGTAAGGTTGCTCGTCTTGCAGGTTCCTATCTTTGTAGTTTTGTCAAAGGTCTGAAAGCTTAGAGGGATAGAGAGAGAGAGAGAGATTACAAAAGATGAATCGATACTACAACAAGGTTGAACAAGGTAGCAGAGCTATTACAAAGGGTTGAAGAGAGGGTTATCCCGAGGGGGATGAAGGCTTGTCCCGAAAGGGATGAAGGCTGACTACAACTTTGTTTTGAAGGCAAATCTGGCTTTGAGCAGAGTTTGTGCTTGCATTTGTTTGTTTGATTGAGTGTCCTTATTCCTGGTTTTTCTTTCTTCTTATATAGACAACTTGGCTTGGTCTTCTGTAGCAGCAGCTTTGCCCGAATGTGGCTTGCGGGTGATGACTCATCAGTTTTTTTACATGTAATGCCACCATAAAATGCTTTATGGGCTGTGTAACTGATCAGTCTACACCACTTGGCCTTTGGGTAGGTAGGCAAATGGTCTTCATGAGCTGCACCAAGTCAGAAAAGGCATTTTCCTGCCTTCTGGGCTTTGACTGGGTTCTGGCTATTTTTCCCTTTGGGCCTTCTTTCGGGCCAGCTCCTTCCTTGAGCCCAAAGTTCAAGTTTTGATCCAAACAGAGTCTTTTCAAATGGATCTCATGCTGCTGCAAATGCCTCAAGGAGTTACGTCTTAGTTCTATCAATGGCATACAAAATATCTCCATTGAAAGGTCGTCTTTGCAATCCTTTTATTTTTTTCATTTCTGGTGACGTCCATCTCAGTATATCTGGTGAGAAACTTGAAAATATAGATATGGCATGGAATGATTACTATGTACCAACAAGCTTAAAAAGCAGCACATCATTGAAGATTTTTGCTCCAAATCTTAGAAATCTGAAATGAGAGGGCTATTTGGATAGCTGCTAAGTCTACTGCAAACCCCCCTCCCCCGGTATAAGTGTTGAACTTGGTATTTCATATCTCCAGCTAGAGTAGCAAGGCAAATTTCACTCCCTTTCTTTAACTTGTCAATTATTTTCTCAATTCTTGGACCAACAACTCCCTTCCACTTTAAAGCAGCCACTCTTCTATTTGCCATTCTTACCATTAGGTTCTTCCTTATCATTTGGAGCATACTCAAAATGGGATTGTCCCTTGCCTTCACAATCGATTTGTTAAAAGCCTCATATAGATTGTTGGCAAGAATATCACACTTAAAGTATGTGCTAAAATATGATTTACTCCAATGTCCTGGTGGTTTGTCATCCAACCACTTCCAAGCTTCCTC